GCTGTCCGTCAATTCGTGCGGCACCCATTTGTCCAATTTTTTCACCTCTCCTATTGCAGCCAGGTGTCGAGAAACAGTTGCAATAGAAACACCTAAGTCTATTGCAAGAGCCTGAACTGTCATTTGTGGGTTAGCTTCCACAATGGCTCTTAAATGTTCTTCATTCACAACAGATTCAGGCCTTCCTCGGGGCTCATTTTCGAGATTCATGTCTCCAGATCGAAATTTTTCTAACCACCACCGAATAGTCCGCTGGTTAGCAGTCCCTTTCCTGAACGCCAAGTCGATCTTACTCGCAGCTACAGCTGCGTTGTGCCGCAATTTGAACTCATACAAAAAAAGTAGTCTCAATTCTTTTGAAGACATCATATTGTACAGGCAGTCCTCGACATATGACAGTAATATGGGGGAGGCCTCAGGCCTACATGTCAATGACTCCTTCAGCCCTAGGCTTAGAGCGTCCTAAGTCAAAGTGTCGTAAGTCGAAGCGTTGTAAGTCGAGGACTGCCTGTATAGAGAAAAATCAGACATTTCATGTGAAACAACCTAATAGAATAGTCTTACTCCTTTTTTAAACCTTTGGGGGTGTGTCATAAGTTTTGAGATCACAGATGTCTGAATAAAATTCTTTGTCTCATCATTCATTTACTGCAGAACTAGATGAGAGTGGCAGAATTGCAGCCAACAGTTCTACCATATTGCATTGTGGCTGCTACTTGCTGATCAGAGTGGATGGGGAATAGGATGCTCTCACGTTGCAGTTCTCAGTTCATAATATATCTTTTCTCAGACCATATTCCCTTCCTTACTCTCTTCATGCTCAATTAGAATTTTAATCATGCTTTGTCTGCTCCATGAAAAGCTGAGTGAGGAAAAATTGAAGAAAGTTTGACTCACTATCCTGACATATTAACATAAGGCATAAGGGAAGGGAATGCCCCTTTCAAACAACTACTGTGAGGCAGTGTAAGCAAAAAAAATTTTCCTGCAAACCTGAGGTGACAAATTTGAGTTTCCTGGGAAGAATATGCAAGCAGACTAAGTGGGTTGTCTGTCTGTGCATCTCCATTCCTGCAAACCTCGTTTGCAGATTCATAAGGGTATTCCTAACCTGCTGTGAGGTAAATTAGAATAGAAGAAAAAAAAGAATCCTCTATGGCATGCAACATTAGTGCCTTATAAGTAGGGCTGTCATGATGGGTGATACCATATTTGATGGTTGGAGGTATTGATGGTTTCTTGCACCAGTTAAGATCAAGTCCAGAAATAAGGCATCGAAATGTTAAGCTCCTTGTTTTACAAAAGTAGATGTCATTACCTTTCTTTTGGATGCCTAGCATTCATTGGTCAAGCATATTGCTGAGTATATTATGAGAAAATTGACAATGTGTCATTTTTTACAGTGTCCAGTTTCCTTGTTCTGTTCAACTTTTTTCCCCTCCCAAATTTTATATAATATCATGCCTACAGGAGAAGGCATGTTCCTTCATAAAAATGGAATGGAGTCTCTTGAAGTTACCCAGGGTTTTGAGGTGATTTCCCCTAGTATTTTGTGAATGTGTGACACCTTTGGTTTCCACATTTCTGTTTCTTTTTAATATTGGGTAAACATAGTCTGCCTAGCTGAGGCACAGGCATACTGTGGAACATGCCTGAGGTAGGGATGTCCCTCCACAGTAGCTAAAAGCCTTCAGAATCATCAAAATTCATCCCATGAACAACACAAGTGATTTTTGAGGTATACTGCATCTGCATGTCCTAGGTGTTGCACATAGGAGAGTGTGTGTGCTACTCCTGTGCTAGGTAGAAGCTCCCTAGAATGCAACTGAGTCCCTTTTTTTTTGGAGGAGGAGCTTGCCACAGCTTGGACCCCTCTCCAATCTCCTGGATTTAATTCTCAAACTGAAAGCCTACAAGTCTCACTTGAGATACACCATCAACTCTGCATATTGAAATACTCACAGGACCATCGAATTTCATTCTGTAATCCAGAGTATTCCAATAACCAAAACTTGGCTTATCTTTTATCTTCTGTACCATACTGGATATTGGGACAGCACAATGGTATTGCATTATGTGGAGTCGTCTGTATTCCATGTTTTTAATTACATTTTTTAGACTGATCACACCCACTGATGCATGGAGGCCTCATTCTGAAAACAGTATTTAGTTCTACAAACTGATTAGACTTATGGGACACCCTATATACTCACTTACATGTCCATTTTCAATAGAGTTGACAGATCCCGAAGGACTCCTCTGCTTGCACTCCTCACTCTCCTGGGCTGCACAGTTAAGCAGGGGGTGTAAGTGCAAAGCAAGTCAAAAGAAATGTTATCAAATAAAATACCAATGAGAAACAACCACACCCTGGGGAAGGATAAGCACAGGAAGATTGTGTTTCCTTCATTAAACTTTTTTTTATATGAGGCCCCATATTTACTGTTCCTTTATGCTCTTTGGTTTTTGTTGTCTCCTGTCAATGAAGAACTTCAGGAGAGATGTCTTTCATGTCATTAAATGAAAGTACACTACTTTCTTGTCACTTCAAGAAGTCCTGAGAATCATGTGAAGGACTAATCTACATTATCGTTGTTCTATCAAGGGTCTGTTGCGAGCATGAACATTGACCTAAATTTTTCATTTAGAATAAAGTCATATTTTCTTGGTTTATGCACAATCCTGAGACTAATGTAAATTTGATCTTTTGACATTCGTTTGGCTCTTGTTTTTTCATAGATTGATGTGGAACGGGTGAGAGTGCAGATCCCAGATGATCGACTCCCATCATCCATTACATCTCCACCTGTCATGCCTCTTCTTATGAATGTCCCAGCTTTGACATTGGTCAGGGATTGCTCTGGAGTCTTCCACACCTTTCCTTGTGAGTCTTGGCATCATTGTGAATGATCATGCCTACCATTCAGATTCAGTGCATCCTGTTTTGCTGTAATGCATTGACAGTGGACACAGCTGAGCGAGGACAGACATCCTGTGCATCACAGACAAACCCATGCCCCTACCCTGAGCCTAATCACATTGGAGCAAAAGGCAGCTCAATGCAAACACTCCAGACTCTGAGGGCCGAGAAAGCAGAACTATTGGAACGGGTGCATATTTTAGAAAAGCAGCTTGAAACGTCCCAGCGACACCTTCGTACCAGTGAAGAGGAGAAGATCTCTCTCCTCCAGACCATGAAATTCCTTCAAGAGGAACTTAAGCAGAAGCAGTGATCCCCTGTGATTTTAGGTCCTCACACACTCATCCTGCCTCACAGCATGGGCCCTTCCCTTTTATAAGCTCAGTTATGTTTTTCAGACATTGAAGTTTGATCTTCCTATTTTTTATGTGTGATCTTGGTGTCAGCATAATTGTCTTTCATGACCGTGCAAGCTTAATCCTGCCATCTCACACATCAAAATATATCCCAGCTCTCTAGCTCCATGGTTGTGTTGTAAAGAGAGCACAAAGGCTCTTGAGCATTAAATGCTCTTGTTGCACAAAAATGATTTCAACTTTTGCTCCTGTTATATAGAGGAGTCTTTCAAATGTTTTTCTGAGAAGAATATTGGAAATTGTCACGCAAATTTGCCATCAGAAGGCCAAATATCAACAATGAATTCATATTTTTAGTAATTTTCATTTCATGACTAAAACTTGTGTCTTCCCTCATTAAGTTCATCCACAGTATATGGACAGCAGCAACAAATGATACACATCTCTGTATTTGGTGTTCATAATGCCTACATCCCAGTACTTATTTATGATTATTTGGAGCTTGGTTTTGGTTTCTCCTTGATTCTTCAGCTGTTTTTCTTTTGTGGCTTGGTTTTTGTTTTCTCCTTGATTCTTCTGCCACTTCTTCTGTCTCTGCTTCTATCTTCTTGATTTTACATAACACCTGCTAAAAAATAATAGAGAAAACCTGACATACAATTGTGCCAAATTGCATCCATAGGCATTATTCTCTCTGGGCATTTCTTACCTCCTATATCTGGCTAGACCATGAAGAAAATATCTTTTTGGAAATCCTTGTTCAAGTTCCCTTGTGGCAAATATTCCATGTGCTGACAATGTGCACAGTTCATGTTTACAAAATTTGATTTGGGTGATTGAGGTCTTTGATGAATATATGTTGTTGATCACAGTGTACCTAGGTAATTGATCATAAATCTACAAGATAATATTTTTCTCAAATTGTGTGTTAATCAAGACATATCAGTATTAATTTCACTCGGTGCATCATGGTTAACTCTTATCATACCCATGTGATTCAACAATCAATCCCACTGCAGCATTTGTGCATATGCTCATCTTCCATCCTGTGTTTTTTGTGGTCATCCTCAATGTTACTGTGATATTTTGTTGGCCGAGCTTGCATATTTGCCATTCCTGGTGTTCCCCTCACGCATAATCATCCTTCCATTCATTTGATGTTGCAAGGTTTTCCATCGTGTACTTGATGTTCATGAGAGGAGAGAGGGAAGAAATTTCATCTATCTGGTTTCTTTGCAAGAGCCTTTTATTGTTGCATGATATATCACAGAGATTATTGAGATTTATTTAATAAAAAAATTTTTCAATGAGTCTTTCCGTCTTTGTCTTATGGTCAACGTGGTCACGTGGCCACGTGGTCAACCTTCCTTGTTGGGAACAGATCGAATTTTCTCCAAGCAAAAGTATTGATGAGGAATACAGATTAAACTCAAGCCTCGAGTACATTTCGTTCGAAATTCATGGGTACCTCTGTCTTCGTCGATACACGCCTCGGAATTCATTTGTTGAGACCCCCAATGACAAAAATGTCATCGACTGCGGCGGCGTCTGGAACTTAAGGCCGTTTACTGGGGATAAAAGTCCATTCCTTGGATTCAGGGTCGTACCTTCCCATCGATTGCGCGAAGGTAACATTGCTACGCAGTTACCAGATTGAATTCGTACGATTGCAGGTAATGACATCTTCCACTTGAGTGAGGAACTACAGAGTGCAGAGTAACATGCGTGTTCCAGAGACGACGGAGGATGGTGATCCCAACCGCGTGCACATAGGCAGCGATTTGTTGAGAAATATGGGAGGGCTCAGAGACAGTACTGCCTTGCAAGTATTCTCATGTCCTCGTTGTGAGCCCCTTCTGCCTAATTTTTTGGGGGAGCTCGAGTTCCCAGCCCCTATGAATCGCGGCCAATGCGCGTGCACAAGCCTCCTCAGCATCACCAGGCCGCAGTAGGCATTGGAGAGTTGGCAATAAAATCGACCCTTCCCGTTGGGTACCGTATTAATCTGTACGTTCTACGGAATGCCACAGCTGGACCGCAACTGTAAAGTTAGACGTGTTCCGGTTGAGAAACTACTGGAAAACGCTGGATCCAGGTTGGTTCCTAGCTGGATTGGAGCTGGTTTACTCAGCTGTCTTCCTGTGATTTTAAACTTGCTGCAATGATGCAATTTAGAACGTCAATCCAGTCACTTCTATAGCTGAACTCCTGCTAGCAAACTCATTCTCAAACCGACTGGGAGATCACAGCTGGAAACCTGCTTGGATCCAGTTTCTTGTCCAGTCTTAATTTACGTGTCCAGCAGTAGTCCAGCAGGGATTTAACTGTCAAGAAAATAATCATGACTATTGAGAGTTATGCCCCTTTAAATTTTTGGGTAAAACGACTCCGAAAGCACCTTCTCCCAAACTACTCAAAAGAGATAGCTCAATTCGATGCTGGCTATTTCAATTTATTTTATCATTTATTTATGACATTTTTTTTTGCGCCTCAACCAAAGGGTTGAAAGCAAAAGTAGTTTCTCTGCAAAGTTGTTAGAAAAATACAGAATCGCCACAATTTCTTGTCACCCCTGCAGCAATTTCTACAAGTTCTCTTTTCTTCTTTATTTTTTTCAGGCTAGCTGAACATAATCATGAGTGATGAAAGGAATTATACCATTGAGCAACGTATTGTTGCCACTGTCTGTGTTCACGAACTTCCACAAACAGGGAAGACCATGGAAGTTCGTGACGATTTCCAGCAACGATTCAACAGAACGAGAGAGGCCAGGGAGGCCACAATGTCTTGTTACCTATATTTATTACACTATTTTTTTACATTTTTGAGGAGCACATGTATTATGCATTTACTTTTACGTATTACACGTATGACACAAGTAGATCAGCTTGTGCCCCATCATTCTCACGACAGAGAACAATTCTGGGCCATGTTCTGTGCGACATTTCCCATTTGAACTCTGGTTGACAGCCTTCCTGTTCTCGGCTTATCTTTTATGTTGCCTATTGTGAAGAATTTATGCTCGCATTGCAAAAGAGTCTTTTTTGAAGGAGCTTCTTGGTTGAATCGTCGCTGGAAATCGAAGAAATTTATTTCATCGTCTTCCCTGCTTGTGGACGTTTGTGAACCCAGACACTGGCAACAATACGTTGCTCAATGGTATAATTCCTTTCATCACTGATGATTATGTTCAACTAACCCGAAAAAAAGAAAGAAGAAAAGAGAACTTGTAGAAATTGCTGCAGGGGTGACAAGATTTTCTGGCCACGCTGGTACAAAAGGTACGCGAGGAAAAAAAATCTCCACTTTTCCTTTATGCCCTTTAATTGTAATTAAAAAAAAGAAATGTCGCATTCTTTTTAATTTCACGACATTTAAAATGTTAAATTAATTTAAATCATAAACGTAATTAAAATTTCACCCCCCAAATTGTCATAATCGGAATGCTTCTGATGAATCCAGCTTTGAGATTTATTTAGTGCTCCCAATGATTTGTCTAATGACTCCTTTCTCTAATAATTATAAAATCATGCAAAAATTTGCTATGCAAGCTAGAGTTTTCTTATTTAGATATATTTGGCAAACTTTGACCTTCGGTAAATTTTGTTTGATTCCAATTACATGCATGATTCTTTCATAAAATGATTCGCCATTCTAAGTTCTTTAGAGAGAAAGTGGTTTTATTCGCTTACTTCTTATATTTTCTTTAAGGGACCTTTTAAGCGAGATTCACCTTGGAGCGTTTTGCCCTTTCATCCCTGAAAATGGCTTTAGGCATGGGGAAAATGTTTCATTTCGCGTTCTTGGATTCGACAAGGCTTTGGAAACACGTACTTTTACAACAGATTTGAGTTACATTCAACCTTAAATTATAAATAATAAAAAATTAATAAATAAAATCATGCAACTTCATAAGTGCTGCTTAGAACCAAGTCCGCATTTTCCGTCATAGCTCGACACTTCTATGCTACAGTCCGTGATTTCGGTTCCTTTCAAAGTGGTGGCCGAACAACATAAGATCGTTTCTTCGTGATAACCCTGTGCGATACGCAGCAGAAGGAGTTTTCGCTCTGAGTGTGGCTCTTCTGACGCCTCCGTTTCCCTTCCAAGGCTGGCTGATTCCGATGGAAAAAATCCATTTGTCTTTTCCTTCGAGTGCTGTGGGCCGTAATCCTACTGGGTTTTCTTCGAACTGTCTTTGGTTTGTTTGCTTTTTGGGGGTTAATGGATGGTGGAGAGAGACCCGATCGTACCCCTCCACCGCATCCTTGGCGCGTCGGGAAATCAACCCTCCGACGGCAAATATCAATTCATGAAGGTGTCTGGGTCCTCCCCATGGGGCATCGTGGGTCTGGGCCCGGCGTAGAGGACCTGGGCCCAGCGGCATAGGGAGAGGGTGCACCGGAGGGTTTTCGCTCTCCGATGCCTGAATCCTGGGGCAGGCTCTTCGGAGTTCGGGAAGGAAACGTATCTTCGCCGTCCTGTCCGACTCGTCTGCCTCCCCCCGCTCCATGAAGGCTCGGAAAACTTCTCCATCTCTCGCGTTCGGCAGGTCGTCAGGCCGATACCGTTCCGCGTCTTCGACCGACTTCTCTGCGAACTCTTCCCGGCGCTTCAACGCGTCCGCGAGACGCTCGAACGCGTTGAGTTCTGCGGTCTCCGCGTGGTCGCGCTGGAAGCATCGACGCTCGAATCCGGCAATCTGCGATCTTTTGAGGGAAATCTGAGGAAAGGGTCAACCTGTCAGCCTAGGGTTACCAACTTCTCCTCAGGTCAGATAAATTATGATTATGAGAGGTTACGGGGGGGGGGGGGGGTTGTAACAACAATTGTCGTTTCCTTCTCCCGGCAGTCCCTATTCTGTGATAACCGTTATTCAATACATGCTCATGGATTTGGAAGAATGCGAGGCCTCGGAACCAGCAAACTCGAGACCAGCTGGGGCTTTCTGTTTCGCCGCCATTTTTCCCCCTCTAAGTAAAACCGGAAGAGTTGACAATCCTATCACAAAATAACCGCTCGCAAACATTGGATGCGACATGAGGTAAATTCCCTGCAAAATATCTCCCTGGACGTTCCGTCAGCAGGCGTAAAGTCGGGAACCCAATACATCTTTCTTTCGGCGCGACCTCCAGCTTTAAAAATTAATTACGGCCGAAGGCGAAGAGTTTCATGCGGAATCCAACCAAACAAGTTTTCAGACGAGAGTTTCCTCGACCTTCGGTCGATTTGGCGGCGCATCATTCTCCGTTGTGAAAATGATTACTGCTGTCATTCAAATCCCCATGGCCCGACATGCATACCCTGTGAAAAAGGTGAATTGGATGCAATCCCAGCAAACAAGGCTACGTTGGACCAACGTTGAATCAACGTTCCGATTCAAAGTGGATTCAACGTTAATTCAACGTTATGTGCTTCAAATTGTTTGCTCGGATGTTAAGGGGAAGTCCTACCCTTCCTGAAAATCGAGCGAGGGCGAAGGAGCTTTATAGATGTCGCATAGATGTCTCTCTTGCCCCTCAGGGCTCACTCCGACGGAAGGAATTTTTTTGTTGCCCGTGAACTTCCAACAGGTGTCATATCTGATCGAGGGGATCAGCTTTCCCTTTTTCCCAACTCCCTTCACTTTCCGCGTTCTGCATTCGATCGACTCGAGACGTCGGTGTAGTTGTATCGTTTCAAAACATTGGCCCGTATGCAAGAACCTATCACTTGATGGCTCATTACATGGTAGCTATCATGATAGGTATCAGGCGAAAGGTCTATAATTTTCTAGGTTCCGTTTGCAAGAACAATAAATAGGTACCTGCATACCTATTACGATAGGCATTCATGAATTTTCCCTACGTTGACAATTCAACATCGATACAACATTGAACGGCAGCAACTTGTCTACGTTGAGATTTGTTTCAACCTTTTCTCAACACTGTGGCAACATGTTAAGTAGAAAAATCAACCTTTTCTCAACGTTGACACAACGTTGTTGTGCCGAATGGGTTAAATATCCACCCATCTACAAGAAGGAGATTTTGGCGTCTCTTTCAGTACAACGGTCAGCATGAACCAATGAACCGACAACAAACTATGAAGTTATTGAATTCCTGATGTGAGGGTTTCTGCTTCGATTTCCACCCTGACGTTAGTTTGCAGTTTGGCTTTCTCCTATTTGCCCATCGACGAGACCGGACTGTGTTCATACTCAACTAAGAAAGAACACGACTCAAGTTGCTGCGATTTCTCTCACGCATGGACTTCTGTGCATTCGAAAAT